GAGAAGATGGGAGTAGGAAGAAGAAGAAGAAGAAGAAGAAGAAGAAGAAGAAGAAGCAGATGGGAAGTGGTGGCGGGAGAGGTGTTGACGATGTGGGAAGGGAGGAAGGAGGTGGTGGCATGGAGGTTGGAGATGATGAAAGGAGCTTAGAGGCGGCAGGCAGAGAGGTAGGAGATGGCGAGGGGGGGGTGGGAGATGGAGAGAGGGAGGTGGCGGATGGCGGGAGGAGAGGTAGGAGGTGGCGGATGGCGGGAGGAGAGGTAGGAGGTGGCTGGGGGGAGGCTCGAGATGGAGGACGTCAGGTGGGAGATGGCGAAAGGGAGGTGGGAAGTTCCAAGCGGGGAGGTGAGAGATGGCGAGAGGGAGGTGGAAGGTGGGAGATGGCGGGCGGGAGGTTGGAGATGGCGAAAGGGAGGTGGTAGGTTGCGTGCTGGGAGGTGGGAGATGGTCGGATTGAGGTGGGAGGTGGCGGGAGTGAAGTGCGAGATGTGAGAGATGGCGGGAGGGACGGTCGGATTGAGGTGGGAGGCGGAGGATGGTGGGAGGGATGTGGGAGATGGCTGGAGGGGAAGAAGAAGCTGGCGGAAGAGAAAGTGGGAGGTACCGGGAGATGGCGGGTGGAGAGGTAGGAGATGGTGGGAGGAGAGGTAGGAGGTGGCTGGAAGGAGGCGAAGGACAACAAGAAGAGGTAGGAGATGGCGGGAGGTAGCGGGAGATGGCAGGAGGGAGGAAGAAGATGGCGGTAGAAGACGACCAAAGTGGCGGGAAGGAGGCGGAGGATGGTGGGATGAACGTGGGAGATGGCTGGAGGGGAAGTGCAAGGTGGCAGGAGGGAAAGTGGGAGGTAGCGGAAGATGGTGGGAGGTAGAGGGAGATGGCGGGTGGAGAGGTATGAGACGGCAGGTGGAGAGGTACGTGACGGCGGAGGATGGTAGGAGGGACGTGGGAGATGCCGGGAGGGGAAGAAGAAAGTGGCGGGAGGGGAAGTGGGAGGTAGCGGGAAATGGTGGGACAGACGTGGGAGATGGCGGGAGGGGAAGTGCAAGGTGGCAGGAAGGAAAATGGGAGGTAGCGGGAGATGTCGGGTGGAGAGGTACGAGACGGCGGAGGATGGTGGGAGGTAGCAGGAGATGGCAGGAGGGAGGAAGAAGGTGGCGGGAGGGGAAGTGGGAGGTAACAAAAAATGGTGGGACAGACGTGGGAGATGGCGGGAGGGGAAGTGCAAGGTGGNAGGAGGGAGGAAGAAGGTGGCGGGAGGGGAAGTGGGAGGTAACAAAAAATGGTGGGACAGACGTGGGAGATGGCGGGAGGGGAAGTGCAAGGTGGTAGGAGGGAAAGTGGGAGGTAGCGGGAGATGGCAGGTGGAGAGGTACGGGGCGGTAGATGGAGAGGTAGGTAGCAGGAGATCGCAGGTGGAGAGGACAGAGACGGCGGAGGATGGTGGGAGGGACGTGGGAGATGGCGGGAGGGGAAGTGGGAAGTAGCCGGAAATGGTGGGACGGATGTGGGAGATGGCTGGAGGGGAAGTGCAAGGTGGCAGGAGGGAAAGTGGGAGGTAGCGGGAGATGGTGGGAGGTAGCGGGTGATGGCGGGTGGAGAGGTACGAGACGACGGAGGATGGTGGGAGGGACGTGGGAGATGGCGGGAGGGGAAGAAGAAGGTGGCGGGAGGGGAAGTGGGAGGTAGTCGGAAATGGTGGGACGGATGTGGGAGATGGCGGGAGGGGAAGTGCAAGGTGGCGGGAGGGAAAGTGGGAGGTAGCGGGAGATGGTGGGAGGTAGCGGGAGATGGCGGGTGGAGAGGTAGGAGACAACGGAGGATGGTGGGAAGGACGTGGGAGATGGCGGGAGGGGAAGAAGAAGGTGGCGGGAGGGGAAGAAGAAGGTGGCGGGGGGGAAGGTGGCAGGAGGGAGGAAAAAGATGGCGGAAGAAGAGGACTAGAGTGGCGGAAGGGAGGCGGAGGATGGCGGGAGGGACGTGGGAGATGGCGGGAGGCGAAGTGGGAGGTAGCGGGAGATGGCGGGTGGAGAGGTAGGAAACGGCGGAGGATGGTGGGAGGGACGTGGGAGATGGCGGGAGGGGAAGAAAAAGCTGGCGGGAGGGGAAGTGGGAGGTAGCGGGAAGTGGCGGGGGGAGAGGTAGGAGGTGGTGGGAACGAGGCGGAGGATGGCGGGAGAAGAGGTAGGAGATGGCGGGAGGGAGTCGGAGGACGGCAGGAGGGAGGAAAAAGATGGCGGAAGAAGAGGACTATAGTGGCGGAAGGGACGCGGAGGATGGTGGGAGGGACGTGGGAGATGGCGGGAGGCGAAGTGGGAGGTAGTGGGAACTAGGTGGGAGACGGCGAGGTGGATGTGGTAAATGGTGGGAGTGGAAGTGGGAGGTGGCGGGAGGTAGCTAGGAGGGAGGTGGGAGGGGCGAAGGAGATGGCGGGGGGGGGGGGAGGAGGGAGGGACGAGGGCTGTCTCTTATACACATCTAGATGTGTATAAGAGACAGGATCGAGAGAAGGTTAACCGACTCTCAACAGATCACCCTCATTTATAAGAAAACCGAAGGGTCATTTTAACCATACTTTACACCAATCTGTAGAGTGCACTTCTTACTAACATATTGNGGGGAAGAAGAAGGTAGACGACGAGGGAGGAGAAAAACAAGAAGACAATGAAGCATAAAAGCAAAGAAAAAAGGAGGAGGAGGAGGGGGAGGAGGAGGAGGATGACCAATGGGTGGAGAAGTTGAACGAAGAGCGTGGGAAGAGGAGGACGACGAGGAGCACGGGGAGAAGTTGAACAACGAAGAAGGAGGAGGAGGAGGAGGAGGAGGAGGAGGAGAAGAAGAAGAAGAAGAAGAAGAAGAAGAAGAAGAAGAAGAAGAAGACCCCCACTTACCTTCCTCTTCGTGGGAGCAGCGACAACCTTGGGGAGCGACGAAGGAGGGCAGGCGCGCCGAAGATGCGACGGGGAGCAGTGAAGGCCGTGGGAGGTGGGCGATGGTGCGATCTGGCCAACGACGGCGATGACGACGAAATGGCGGGCGGAGCGGCMACGCGGGGGAACCCCCGTCCTCAGGCCCGCGTAGTTCGAAAATTCGAACTCGGATTCGAATCCTGCAAAAATGCGCGGGTCGACGAATCTCCGCCATTGATGTTCAAAGATCCACGATGGAGATCACGAGTCCAAGACCGAATTTTTCAAACCCCCCCGCGCGTCGGAAAAAAAATCGACCTGTGGGGGGGCCTTAAAAAATGCATGTACTGCCAAAAGCGGGCGTGGCGTCCCGAAATTGCCCCTCAGGCACACTTCGCTGGGGCCGCACGGGGCCCGTACGGGGGACCCGCACGGCCGTGCGGCCGTGAAAGGATCCGTGCAAGACGGGGACACTCGTGAGCACAGAAATGAAGCCTAGCCCTTCAGACAATATTTTTACCGGACGCATGATGTATGTCGACAGAGTTGCTATGGTCAAGTAGGCCTCACACTTCAGTTTGGGCAGGCCAGGGGTGATGTTTTTTTGAGGTTCGACAAGGTAGGTTCTGTGGTGCCGGTGGTTTAAGCCCAGGGGTCTCTTTGAACCAGCAGATTTTTAAGTGTCAAAAAATGTTAGAAACGAAAAAGAAAAGAAAGAAGCTCTGTTGTGCGCTGAAGGGTCTTCGCAGGAGTTGGAATCTGGAAGGAACGAGATGAATACAATAGGTAAGGGGGTCTCTCTTTTTTTTTTTTTCAGAAAAAGAAAGGGGCTCCCCCAAAATGTGTCGTTTGTACATTCTGATCATGGAGCATTGCAGTTGAGATGCACTCATTTAACTGCAAGGGGTGCAACGGGTGCAATGTGTGCACAGTAAGGCACCGTTGGCGGTTCGGAAAAGCTTGGCGCACAGTAAGGCGCCGCAGACCCGGGTGTACTTACTGGTGGTTTAAGAAGTCTGTGAACAGGAAAATTCACATGGTTTTTAACTAATGCACCACCTGCCACCCACCTCACTCCTTGCTTTCCCTGGCTGGAGCTGAAGCAGGTAAAGGTGCAAACACAGTGTTTCCCACCTCACCGCTCACTTCGCTGGCCGGAGTTGAAGCAGGCAAAGGTACATACACAAGTGTGCTTCATTGTCTGCAAGAGAGGTAAAGCTGCTTTGATTTTTGATCTACTCGTCCGGGTGGAACCGGGGCTGTTGGGTGAAAGTCTGTGCTTCGCACCATAACGCGACCTCTTGGAAGAATTTGGATTTTAACGTGCTGGTGTTTTTTAACTGTAGGAATACTACTGGGAAGTTGGTGGGCTTATCATGAGCTAGGTTGCGGCGGTTGGTGGTTTTGGGATCCCGTAGAAAATGCATCTTTGATGACTTGGGTATTAGCTACAGCTTGTTTTCATTCGGTCATTTCATTTCGGTTGAATTCTTGGACCTTCTTTCTAAACATTGTTACTTTTTTATTCAGTGTTTTAGCCTTTTAGGTACTTTTTTTGTTTGTTCGGGATGACTTGCATCTGTTCATAGCTTCGCCACAGATTCGCAATGAGGAATAGCTTTGCCACAGATTTGCAACGAGGAATCTTTTTATTAAATTACACTAGTGCAAGCTCCTGATGAGTTGGGCAAAGTCTGACAAAATGGTGGAAGTCTGACAAAAAAGTCTGACAAAATGCTCTGGCAGGGGCCTTTTTCGTAGAATTGTGTGCATGCGGGGTGCTGGTGGTATAAATCTCCCAAAGTATGATGATCTGGAAGAGCTTCCACAATGCTATGCAGCAGTGGATGGTAAAAGTAACAGGAGTGCAAAGATAGTGAACATTGGTAGGGATTTTATACTGTTCCTGTCGTGCTAACCTTGGACAGTGCTCTGTATTGTGCAGCACTGGATGATGAAGCAGTGCATGCTCGCCGAGAAGCATGGCGGGAGCGTCAGCGAAGGTGTCGAGCACGGCGGCGCGAACAAGGGAACCAACTGCATGATGCCGAGGTGCGGCAGAAAGGCCAGCGACAAAGGCGGAAATCATCAGCAAGTGAAGTTGATGCTGCGGGGGAGCTGTCGCCTCGCCGGGTGCGGAAACACAGTAGAGGTGCGAGTTGGAATGGAGCTTTACATTCTGGAAAGGGGCATGTTGAAGCGAATGGAAAGCCAAGTTTTGAGGCTCGTGTTGAAAACTTGCAAGCAGAGGTGTTGGTGAGCTTAGCCAGTGATACCAGCATGCCATTACGAATAGAGTTCCCAGGCAAGGCAGACTGTGCTGAGGCTGTTGTTGATAGAAAATGTTATGTAGCATTAGCAGGACCTGCGGAATGCTCAGTAGGTGTAGAAATGGTGGAGTTGGCACCATCAAGGGATTTGGCAGTGACGAGAGAGGTGACCATATCTCGGGAGTTCGTCCCATGTGCAGATTTTTCAACTCAAGAGGCAGCAGCTAAAGAGTCGGCAGCAGCTAGGGATTCAGCAGCCAGGGAGTTGGCAGCTACAGAGAACCCCGCAAGAGAGTCGGAAACCAGGGAAATCCCATCTAGGGATTCTGCAGCCGTGGAGCTGTCGGGGATTGAGTCCGAAGTCGTGGAGCTGGCAGTGAGGGACTGTGGAGAGAGGGATTCAGCAGCAAGAGAATCAGATGCTAGGGAGTCGGAAGCTAGGGAGTTGGTGGCTAGGGAGTTGGCTGCAAGAGTGTTGGCAGCTAGGGAGGAAGAGGCATCAGTGCACGCTCGGCGTGAAGCATGGCGGGAGAGACAGCGGAAGTGCCGTGCACGGCGGCGTGAGCAAGCAGAACGTGCCGAATTTGAAATGAGGCGGAAGGCTCTCCAGCAGCAGCAGCACTGGCAGGGTGTAGCAAGCACCGCCAACGGCAGAGCTCATTCATGATTGAGTTGTCGTGGTTGCCATGCACCCGGGAAACCCGAGTGGGCGTAATGTGGAGCATTTGACTGCATGCAAGTGTACAGAGCTTGATGTTGAGGCAGAACTTGTGAAAATGCAGGCGTGAATCAAATCAACCCCCATACATCCGACCGGTGAGAGTTTTGCGGACAACTTCCTGACTGGAGTGATCAGACCTGTTAGATTCCATAGATCGGAGGAGCAGGTGAGCGCAGAGAGCAGGTATCAACTTGGCAGAGGCTGTGACTGGATCTAGCCACTAATGCAGACGAAATGGCTCGAAAACCCAGTTTCCCCCGAAGTCCAACCTGAGAGCTTCTCTCTCCAACCCAAGGCGACAACCCAGGAGGCCACACTCCGGCATCAAGAAGAGGTGAAAGGTAAGATGTCTTTCCTTTTATCTGCATTCGATAGGTTCTCAAGTCGGAAATTAAGCAGAGGGAAAAGCATAAAATATGACAGAAATTGATGTGAGTAGGATGAAGTATCATGCGCACAGCACTGCACACAGTCCAAAAGATCCTTAAAAGACGTACGCATGCAAATTGCTTCCAAAGAGGCTATTTGATGGAAAAGCTATTTTTCCATGCAACAGAGTGTAAAGTTTCGCCTTTCTGATTGAAAACCATGTTGTAAAGTTCTTTTTTTTTCCTTTTTCAATAGAAAAAGCTTCTATGCACATTTCATTCCCTTTTCTTTATGCTCTGGAGGAGGTACCTCACACTGTACCTCACACTGCAGAGTTCCCTTCGCAGGTATGCTGTAAACAAGGCTGGATTCGAAGTCGCAAAAATGGCAAACCATACGAAAGACATTTAGGAGAGCAAGTCAGCCCGCCGCAGCCAAGCCCGTGGCACTCGTCTTCATGACCCCTGGCTTCCAGCACGTGTCACAGACGGGATAGGAAGCACAATCATCTTCTCTCTCAAACGACACACGAATGGCACATCCTCTCACTCCTCATGTCGCCTTGTCCACCCGTCCTCCTCCCTGGCATCCCTTGCTCCACCCCACCTCCTCGCCCAGTTTCTCCTCATTAGTCATCTCATTGTTTTTCCCCTCCTCTTGCTTCTCTTCCACCACCACGTGCTTCTCCCCCTCTTGCACGTCGTCCTCCACCTCCGGCTCGTCATTCTCTCCTGTTCACCGTCCTCGTCCTCCCGCTCGTCGTCCTCCATCCTTGTAATCACTCTTCCTCCTTCAGCCGCTCCTTCCATTCATTTTCCTCCTGCTCCACCAATCTGTCATAGTCCTAGTCTCTGCGCAAGGAATGGGGGAAAGAAACAAGAAGTTCGATCAGTCGCATCTGGTGCATAAAACCGCTCAGATACGTGATGAACATTGAGTGGTCCCTTCCCCTTGTTCTCCTCCCCCCCCTTTTCCTTCCGAATCACCCCGTGCTCCTCCTCCTCCTCCTCCCTCCTCGCCCCAAGACATCGCGGACCGCTCCTCTGCACGGCACCTCTGCATGCATTGGGATGCTTTACAGAGCTGATACACCCAGAATATTGGACCCATCGGAATGCACCGATGCAGAAAGCGTCCAAATGTATGTAGCGTTATGTAGTGGAGGGAGGCTGATGCACCAGCCGGTTTTGAGCTTTGAACGAGCACGATTAGTGCGCTTGACAAGCAGGGAAACGACAAAAGGGAAAGAAATAGTGTTGGAGAAATGGAATCTCAGATCAGAAAAGGACAAAATGAAACCAACCCGAGCAAATGACAAAAAACAGAAGCACCCCGAGACATGCTCCTCAGCTGGATTGGAGCTTGTGATCTGCCTACTAACTGATGTGCTGTGTACGTGTATTAGAACATCTGTCCCCGTCAGCCACAGCATTCGGTGGCCTGCTCAAATGCCCTGGCGGAAAAAAATAAACAAACAAAAATGGGAACTCTCCGTCGTGGCCCTTGGTCTCATGGCAGCCTGGGTGTAGTATGGGGCTGTTACATGAGACCTGGGTTCGCTTTTATAAACAGTTTAGATATCGATCGAGAAAAAGAGGAGGAGAAGTTAGGAAGGCGGAAGAAGGAAAATGGGGTTAAAAGAAGATTACCAAGAGACCTTTCACAGGCAAACTTTTGCGAGGAAGTTGTCTGCTTCTGAAGTCTTTTGGGGCTTGGCCTCCCTTCCCTCTTTGGCTGGCGACTTGAGCTAAAAAAGAAAAAAAAGAGCGAGCGCTGTGCGGGCTCATTTTGAACTTGGCTGGCCATGATAAAAAGAGGCTTGGAGGTATTGGTGGTCTAAATGGAGACAATGATGTAATAATGAACAACAGGCAAGAGTTTTCACCCAGCGTCAGACAGCGAGATGCAGTGAAAATTGCTCGTTTTTTTTAGTTACAAACCGCAAACGCAGAAGCGGTGGATTTCACCCAGCACAGAGACAGGCTTACTTTTGAAGAACTATCGAGGAAGATTTTTTCAGGTATTGCTGTGTGGGTTTCTGCTACTTGAAGGCAGCAGGACTCTCCTCTCTACAGCCTGACAGCCTGTTATGTGCTCTTGAGCCATCTAACAACCGACTCTTGGATGTCCAGGTGCATGTATGCATACAGCAATTTGTTCACTCCAGATGCATATATGCAGACAACAATAGAGAATATCTAGCAACCGGCATGGCATCCTGCGGGCCTCATCAGTGCAGGCCAATGGCCAACGTTCTGGATCTCATGTAGGGTTCTTGCACCCGGCAGTGCAGCCAGAGCGGCAAATGATGAAGGGGCTACACTCTGTCTGTCACTCGTTGATCGACACACATCCTTGTTAGCTGTGTCGTCTTGGCCATGGGCTGCTGAGGAGTTGCGCTGTCTGGCTGAACAAAGAGAGAAAATGTGGCCATTGATAGTAGCTGCTGACAGATTCTGCCAAAGGCAAATGACACATGTTACTGGCCTTAAAGCACCAGTACACCACACATAGACCCACAGGTGTCAGCATGAAACCTGCACCACTTCGGAGGCCGCCGTTTCTTTTTCCTACGGCGCCCGGGGCCACGCGGCGTCTTCGAGTTGTGCTTGTGGCAACAAAAACTTTCTGCAAGACTGGGGCAGTGTACTAGCGGTTTAAGCTGCGAGTTCACCCGAAGCAGAAAAGGGCTCTTACCAGTATACACGGTAGGAGCTTTTCGATTTGGGCCTGGGCGGGTAGTGGACATGGTAGGCATGTTCGAAAAGGCACAGTATCAGGCTGAGTAGCCTGGGAAGGTACCTTCGTCAACTTACTTAGATGCTACCAGTCTCACTGAGGGGGCATAAGTATGATTAGAGCCCTGGGACTTAGATGCTACAGTCTCACTGAGTGGGCGTAGGTATGGACAGAGGCCTGGGAGATATTTACCAGTAGAGTGGCTGAAGTCGTTGGACAGAGAGCTTCAGTCTCTTTGAGCGAGCATAGGTATGGTATGATGATAGCTCATATCTGTGGGCTTGAGGGGTCATATCTGTGGGCTTGAGTCGTCATATCTGTGGACTTGAGAAGATCCATACCCAAGGGAGAAAGGACACCTTGGGACACGTACACTGATGTTGTAGACTTTTGATTATTATGTTGTGGATGTTATGTCAACCTCTCTCCCATCTTGGCTTGGCCTTGGCCCGCTGTTGAGGTTAGTTGTCATGGCTGCATGCTTTCTGGATGAAACTTTTCTCTCCGCATCCTCATCATCACCCCCGTCTGGGCTTTGTGAACCTCTGCACTTGCCCTCTGTGGCTATTCTACCTTGTCCTCCTTACTCCTCCCTCGTTATCGTTCCGCAGGTAATTCAAACCTTCTCCATCCCCTTGCCATCTGCAAACGTCATCGTCGCACTTTTCTGACGGTCTTAAATATCATATGTAGTCTGTGCCTTCACTTCATTTGTGGTCCCATGGTGTTATCCCAACCACCTTTTTTTTTTTTTTTTTTGAGAGGCTCCATTTATTGGTGGGGAGCATCACCTGCTGGATATGCCAGCCACTTTAGCTCGTTTTGTAATACAATCTCACAAAGGTTCTGTTGTACACCGACTCATCAGCGTTTTGGTTTCGTTGATTTCAGGTTGGCGAAACTACTTCCCTATTTCTACATCACCAACCCACCTCACTCCCCGTTGCTGAGCCTCTACCCTGCTCTTCTCCCTCTAATGTTCGAAACCCCTCTGTGTGGGCTTAAGCTGGTCGTCCTTGAGCATGCTCGCCCCCACATATTTCAATCAAGGTGCTCCTTCCAGTCCTCCAAATACTCCGAATTCCAACTGCTAAGCAGCGGCCTTGGCAATACCCTGTGAACCTCTTTCCCTCCCTTCTGGATGCTCACATGCACCTTGTCATCGCTCCAGCGCCTCTCTTGTCCCTGGACCTGTCGTAGTACCTCCAGACGTGTCTGTCAACATTCTCCCTCATCATGTCTGAACATCCATGTTCATAATCTCCAAGACTCTCCTCTTTCCCCTTCCTGAAATCTTGTCCCTCCCCTCTCCAAGTCTTCTGCCACTCCTCCTCTGGACCGCGAAGAAGAGGACACAGTCCACCATAGCGGACGGCGGCCATAGCTGCCGAGCTCGAAGGAAGAAGAAGATTGACCGCTGGACAAAGGAGAAGAAGACGAGGGAGAGAGAGGAGAAGGTGATGAAGGTGAGAGAAGTCAGCCATAGACGGACCTGAGGGCGAAAGTGAAGAAGGGAGCTGCCATGGCCAAGGTTGATTGGGAGTTGAACAGCGTTGACTGGGAGTTTACCAGTGTTAACAGCTGGAGTGCGGAGCAAGGAGCAGTATATTCTCTTCAAGCCCTGGATCTACCCCTATACCCTGTGGATGTGCACTCACCTTGGTACTTGCTGACGCAGTCTGTCATCTCTTTCTGCATAGAGTCACTTTTGTCCAGGCCGATAGGATTCTGTATAGGATTCTGTATATGTGGTCATTGAGCTGAGGTGACCAAACGTGCACGGGACTTAGTAGGGCTAAGGCTACGTCTGACGACTGAGGACAAGACCCCCAAGGACCGGTACAGACCGGCAGGCTGCTCAATGTGGCGTGGTAGGCTTGAACTCTTGGCTGTGGGCTGCGCATCCAGCTGACTAAGTCTTGAGAGGGCTCTGCTGATCACGTCGTCCTGTCTGAGACGTTAAAGAATTCTTGAGGAATTACAGGGGATCTCCTTGAATGCCTCCTGATCAGCGTGAGACTTGTAGTGACAGCCTAGAGTAGTTAGGACAAAGCCGAGTAATTGACTGAGTGTCACTCTGAAGCAAAAGCCAGGTGGGTTTCGGTGACAGTGCTGGAGAAAGTTTCCGTCGGCTGTGGAAAGTTTCGGTGACAGTGGATGTGTCATCCTGTCTGAGACAAAGAATTCTTGAGGAATTATGGGGGATCTCCTTAAATGCCTCTTGATCAGCGTGAGTCTTGTAGTGACAGCCTAGAGTATCTAGGACAGAGCCGAGTAGTTGACTGAGTGTCACTCTAAAGCGAAAGCCAAATGGGTTTCGGTGACAGTGGTGGCGAAAGCTTTCGTCGGCTGTGGAAAGTTTCGGTGACAGTGGTTGCGTAAGCATCTGTCGGTTGTGGTAACCTGGCTAAGCTGAAGAGAGGCCGTTATAGTCCTTTAGAGAGTCGGTGGGTAGGTCTACTTGTTGAGGAGTGGAATTGTCAGTAATTGTGCTTGGCAACATGGTGACCACCCGAACAGGAACGAGCACTACCCCCTACAGTAAGGAACAAGAGGAGAAAGTCGTTGCTATATTACGTGAAAAGAAGGAGAGAATGGAGAAGAGGGAGCTGATCAAGCAGGCAAAGAAGTTGACGTTGTTGGAACTTGCGAGAGGAGGCGGCTAAGAAAAAACAGATGGAGAGAATGAGGACAAGCTTGCCATAGTTGAGGCCGAAGTAGAAGAAGAAGAAGAAGAAGTGGAGGCCAAGGAAGAAGAGGTCTTGGTGAGGAGAAGGTGAGAGGCCAGTTCTAGCGCTCCCCCATCAGCGGAAGTAGAGAAGGGAGTGCAAGAATGGGTGGCGACATTGTCACTTGGGGAAGACAAGAAGCAGAATGGGCGGTACCCCAGGCAGAGAGAGAGGTGGTGAACAGGGAGTTGGAACAAGAGAGGGATCCCTTGCGGCATCAAGCAAGGGAACAAGAAAAACAGCTGGAGTGGAAACTGCGCCTAGCGCTGGAAAGGAGTAGGTGTTTGGAAGCGGCAAAGAGGATTGAGGGTGAGTTGAAGGCGGCAGAGACTCGAAATGCGAAAGGTCGGGGAGGAACCGAAAGTAGGTAAGAAATTTGATACCCTCACCCAAAGCATAAATTCTCTACTGACCGCCCAGAGAGAACAATTAAGACATTTTCGCGACCATGATATTGCAATAGAGTCTGTACATACTGGGTTCAAAGACTTTGCGCACAATATGATGATCCAATTATTTGAGGAGATCCATCGATCGGCAGGTAAGACAAAAACGTTATGTACGGGCGCCATAAAGGGTGTGAAGTTATCGACTTCCAAGGAAGAGGAGCCCAGACCACGCCGCAAACGTGTTCGATTCCCCAAGCCCTTCAGTGGGAAGAAGGGTGAAGACTTTGATAACTGGGAGGTCAACGTTAAGTCATACTTGCATCTTTAAGACATCTCGCAGGAGGACCATGTCCTCATAGCTTTCCAAGCACTGAGAGAGGAAGCAACTAGCATTTCTAGTTCACTGGCACGCGCTGCTCGTTGTGAGAATGATATGGTTGAGTATTCCTCGATCACTCACCTGAGTGACTTCCTCGCCGCTCGTCAGTAGAGGAATTAAGGCGCTAGGCAAAATCCAGATGATCCATACACGGCAATGGAGGAGTGTTCGTGCGCTCAAATCCGCCATGGATGAGCTCATTGATGTGCCCGGCCACAAAGTGATTGATGCACAACTTGTCCAACCTTTCTATTGTGCTGTACCTGAGCATGTGCAAGGGCACTTTTTTGCCAAGAAGCAGCAGCCAGACACGATCTATGACGTTTTCAGTAGGGAGGTTGTTGTCTTCGCCGCCCAAGCTGCGCCAGTTACCACTTTCAGGCACATATCTTGCAAAGGGCAAAAAGTGGAAGGGTCGTACCATCTCCGGGCAGGTTAATGCTAAGGATAGTCTGATACTCACAATGGAAGAAGGTGGTGTTGAGGAGGTCCCCTATTCTGACATTAAATGGGGACTTAAGAAGACAGTAGAGTAGGACAGGGGAGTACCCACGCTGTTGTTGCAGCCAGAGGGAGGCCGCAAGGAGGAGGAATGGGGGCTTCGACCGGAATGGCCGGGCCCCAGGTGGTCGAGGACAGGGTGGCTAAAGGGTCGGCGGTAAAAGAGACTGTCATGCGGTCAAGGTCCCCTGTCTAACTGTCCACGTGCAAGTCGGGCATCTCCCAGACAAGGAAGGTGGCACCCAAGTTGGCCTGAGGGGTGGCCTTGGGAATCGTTGGGAATTGGGCAGAATGTGTGGCAGGATCGCATAGATAGGTACCAATGTGTGTTCTGTGGGGACCTTGGATACATCATCATATTTTGTCCTAAGTATAGGGATCGCGTTGCTTCGGGGGCAGCAAAAGGTAACCGCCGGTAGGGGTGGCAACTGCCCTTACCCCAGGAGTATGTGAATCTGAGCGTGCGAGCAAGATAGAGATTCTCACTCCACATATCTCCATGGCAGATGTCGTTGGTGGTTTTTCTGCAATTTCGTGCGTACCGTGTAATCATATCATTTATACATGATTCTCCAATCATTTGCATACTTGAACGCATGTGTCTCGAGGAATATGCCGAGGGAGTTCAGGCGTACTTTCGCCTAGAGAAGGAAGGAAAGGTAGAAAAAATCCTCCATTGCTCAACCCTCCTCGTCAAAGAGAATCTCCTGTTTGATGTAGTTTTGGGTACAGATTGGGGAGAGGCAGTTGGAGCCACTTTACATCTTAGAGAGCACGAGTGTAGGCTCCCTAGTCCGTTAGGCGAAGTTAAGCAAGTCCACCTGTACCATGTATCTGGGATAGATAATCCCCTTGCACATTGCTGCTTCAACGCTCCTGCATTTCCTAGACTTGTGCGAAAGGAGCAGCTCGAAGAGCAGGTATTTGTGACCTATGTTAGGCCAGTTACAGATCTGCCAAAGGAGGAAGAGAAAGCCCATACCACTATTGCTAGTCTCTTGGAAAAATATAAAGACTTGTCTGAGGACCTATTCAACATTGAATAGAAATAGAACCTGGCAGTAAGGCACCCAAGGGGGCAGTCTACAAGATGTCTCCCAAAGAGTTGGAGGAGCTTCACAAGCAACTAGACGAGCTCTTAGAAATAGGATGGAGAAGGCCTAGTTCATTTCCTTTCGGCCAACCTGTTCTATTCGTCCCAAAGGAGGGAGAGTTACATATGTGCATAGACTACAGGGGTCTGAACGCCATAACTAATGCAGAACCACTGGCCCGTATACACGACCTTCTGGATCGGGTGCAGGGTTGTAAGTACTTCTCAAAGATAGATCTGAAGTCAGGATATCATCAGATAGAAGTTCACCGTGATGATCAGCACAAAACGGTGTTCCGGACAAGATATGGGCATTACGAGTTTATGGTGATGCCTTTGGACTTGCTAATGCACCAGCCACATTTCTGTTCAGACCGTGGCTAGATATATTTGTAGTAGTCTACTTAGATGACATCTTTGTATTCAGCAAGACCCTCAAGGAACATGAGGGCCATTTGAGGCATATCTTGGAGAAGCTACGAGAAGCTAACTTCGAGATCAACGCAAAGAAGTGCGAATGGGCTAAGACCGAAGTTTGTACTTAGGTCACGGGTTAGATGGAGACAATCTCCGCCCCTGAGGATAGTAAGATAACATCTATTCGAGATTGGCCAACTCCTCGCACCGTTACAGAGTTGCAAACATTTTCAGGATTGGCTAACTACTATAGGAAGTTCGCCAGACGCTTCTCCTCTATAGCTGCTCCCCTGCGCAGACTGCTAAAGAAATAAGCTATCTGACAATGAGACCAATGGCTTAGGCGTCGTTCTACAGCAAGACGACGAAAATTGCCTATAGGCCAGTAGAGTTGATGTCAGCCAGGCTGCCCTCAGAAAAGGTAGCAGCATCGATGTACGGAAGGGAATTGCACGCTCTCATGCAGGTTCTAGGTCATTGGAGGCACTACCAGCTTGGGAGGCACTACCTGCTTGGGAGGCACTTCAAAGTTTATGCAGACCATGAGAGTTTAAGGTGGGTGAAGACTCAAGCCAAGATTATGCCCAAGTTAACTAGATGGGCTGCTGAGATAGACCAGTTTGACTTCGAATTAAAGCCCATTAAAGGTACAACATGGTAGCGGACACTGTGCGTACAAGGGCAGATTACTTCGGCGCGATAATGCACTATTTAGATATGGGGGCATATCTGCAGCAGAAGATTCGAGACGCAAATGCTCAGGATCCGATTTACAGCAAACTGTTGAAACGAGTGAAAGAAACCCCAGAGGGTGAGCCACACTATGGAACCACAAACGGGCTACTGTTTGAGACGACCAACGTCGTTGACAGACTGTGCATCCCTGATAACGAGAGCCGTAGTTTGATTGTAGGGGGATGGCATGACACAAAAGGGCACTTTGGTTGGCAAAAGACTTTAGCCAACCTCTTGATGTCGTATATCTGGCCCAACATTAGTGATAGAAAAGTTCTTCATTTTCTGGGTAAGCGAGCACAGTATACTGCTGCCGATAGTTAGCGATAGCGACGCGCGGTTTACTAGCCAGAACTGGCAGGATCTTATTAGAGTATATGGTTCTAAGCTGTTGATGTCGTCAGGCCATCATCCAGAAATGAATGGCCAGATAGAGCGGATGAATACAATCTTGCAGCAACTACTCAGAATGTACATTAGATCGGACGAAGTGAACTGGGATGAAATGTTCCCAAAGGTAGCTAGTGCGTATAACAACAGTGTTCATCCAGTTACTTGCTGAACTCCTAACGAGCTACGTAAGTACTTTAGGCCACATAGGCCTACATAAGTACTTTAGACCACATAGGCCGTTTGAAGGACTAAACCGGAATCAGATTCAGAGGTCACCCCCCGGTACAAGGGAGTTCGCTTTGCAACACGAGAAAGAGATTACCAGTTGTTGAAAACCTTAGGAAAGCCGAACTTCGCATGATTGAGCAAGCAAACAAGCATCACCAACCCTCGCAGTTTCAGATAGGTGATCTAGTCTGGGAAAAGTCTAAGGAATTTGCACCTGAGGAGAATGTCTCTCAGAAGCTCCTACGGGCATATAGGCGATCGTGGCCTGTCCTAGAAAGGAGGAGAGAACGGACCGCCGTTCACGATAGAGATACCACGGCACCTCCATACGTAGCCAGTCCTCCATGCATCAAAGTTGTTGCCATGCACCACCAGTGAGCAGTTCCCTTCGCAAAGGTCTATGATTCCGCCAGACATGGATAGTGCACTAGTGAGGTTCTTCACGAAATCAAAAGTGAGGTTATTCCTGAGGAGAGATATGCGTGATTGAGATGTTTGTGGAAGATAGCGAACAAGGAGGGTTTGTCTTCTATTTCCACACCCCTGGGCGGATTGTGAATTATCTTCAACGGCGAGGAAAGTGAGGTTTCCGGCGGAGACATATGCGTGATTGATATGTTTTTTGGAAGATAACAAACAAGGAGGGTTTGCGTCTTGTATTTCCATACCCCTTGGCGGATTGTGAATTATCTTCAACAGCGAGGAAAAGGAGGTGGGCATAACATTTTCTTCATTATTGAGGGTAGGTGGGAGAAGTGTATGGAGGAGATGATGTCTTCTCCTCGCTTCCCAGCGTTGGCGCCCTCTCCAACCCACATTCCTTGACTATTGCTTGGAAAGAGATACAGGCAAAGTGTAAATTTCCTATAACTTCAGCTTTACTTCCTTCCCTTCACCGGTACTTGCTGTCTGTTGCAACTGTTGAGGGAAATGTTTCTCAATTATTTGAATTTATATCCCCTTTTGCAAGATTTGTCAATAGGTGGTAAAAGGAACAATGAAGTTTTATGAAAAACCTCGTACTAGAGCAAAAAAAAAAAAAAAAAAAAAAACAGAGAGAGAGAGAGAGAGAGAGAGAGAGAGAGAGAGATTGTTGCTGTGGTAGGAAATTGAGCAAGGGAACATTTCTCTGATAAAAATTCGGAGTTGGAGAATTATTGCACCATCATTTCCGTTATAAGAAGGGTTGTTCGAGGTGAGATTAGATATGTGGAATGCCTCCTCCCACGATAGAACGCAGGCATGTCAGGAAAACGAGGGAAAAAAAAAAAAAAAACATTCAGCTTTCCCTATGGCTGTCGAATTTTAACCAATTCCACTTCAAAAATCAACGGCTGCCTTCTGAGATTGGATATGCGCCGCAGTGCCGAGAATGTGGTTGGGGGAGGCTGAACATTGTCATCGACCCAGCCCAAATCAGGAGCGACCAGTATCCTTCTCTTTCCTCCTACCTTCATTCCAGCCATGCCCAGTCGCGCTCCCTTTGCCAACTGTCAGTCGTTGACGAAAATAAGGACAAACACACAAATGCACAAGACAACCAAAGAAGACTGAAGATGTCGAGTAATCTCGAAGCGGCTATAAGTGGCAAAAATCAACGGGAGGCGGGTTGGGTCTGTGCAGTAGTTGCACCTATCCAAGATACTTTACTCTTCAAGTCGATGAGAATATGAGTTAAAATAAGACTCCAACATAAAGAGATAGATGATTCGTAAAGATTTGCATCTGTGGGAAAGGGGGGGAAGGGGTGGGTAGGCAGGGTTCCAGGCTAGCTACCGGGGGGGGAAAGCGGGGTTCGGGGCAGTGACACAAAATGGCGGTGGAAATCCGAAATTTGCAATACAAAAAATCACTTTCATTTCGTGTAAACACAATCACAAAATGGTGCTGTAAATTTGCAAAACAAAAAATCACACAATCCGAAAACAAAACGGTATTGCAGTCCAAAGGCACTACAAATAACATGAAGTAGCCGAGGAAGGAAGAGGAGGTAGAGAAGAGGAGGGAAGGAAGTGTGTTCACAACTTTACGTCACTTGTCAGTGGATGGGTTATGAAGATATTTGTGTGACAGTGTGATGTGTAATGTTGCTGTAGGTGGATGGAATTTGGAATAAATAATTTGGAATTCATCTGCTCCTATTTTGTTGTCACACTGCACAGTACATTCTAATTTTCCTCCCTCCTCCTACAATGCACACTTCCTTCGATCAATGCTGATCTCCTTCAATAGGCGGTGCAGGTATCATTATGGTAAAGTTGCAATGATGACAGCGGAAAAAGGAGGAGATTGTGTACTGATTGTGAATGTTTGGAAGTTCTCAGTGTTTCCAGTGCTATCTTTGTCATAGGAGAAGGAGAAGGCTCTCTTTCGGAGCGTACGCAGCTAGCACGGCAGTAAAATGGAATGATGGTTGGCTTATTTTCCCCCAGGGCACGGCCGCCAATTTTCCCACCGGTGATTATAAAAAAAATGTTTGCTTTTCTTTTTATTATCAATTGCACTGGGAAAGGGTGCAGATAACAGTGCAACAATATGAAAAGATGGGGAAGAGTTGGCCTGCTTCATAAGGAATGCTGGAATATGGAAGTTTGGCACTGTGTAGCTGCTGAATGTGTGCAGAGATTTTGCGTACATGCGAATGTGGGCGGGTATTTGGGCGAACAGCTGGCGAATGTGTGCTGAAAGTTTTGTTTTTTAAGTTGGGGGGCGAATAGGTTGTTTGTTTTATTATTTTACATTAACATTTTTTATCATTTGTGTATATTAAAGTGTTTTGATGTTTTTTTTTGCTTTTACATTTTTCTGCTTGCGTGCAGATGGTGGCATTGGGTTGTGAATGTTGGGGTCGGGTTACCGAATGCAGATGTGATGGTATATTGGAATTTTTTGAAAAATAATGTCTGTTGTTCTGATGTAAAGGGAGGAATATGCTTTGTTCATGGGATTTTGTATTTCCTCGATAGTGCTGGATATTTTGCCTTGCAGGGGAATTATTTCTTTTTTTTTGACCTTATATCCTCCTACGTATTTACTCGAGAGTGCTGTGGGATTGTGTGTCTCGCTGGGTAGGGGCTATTGGTTGCAGAGCGTACAGAACAATGTGCGCAAAAGATTGTGAAGATACTATGCGATCGAGCAAATAAGCTGGCAGGCAGTTTGTGAGGAATGTTCCAGGTGTATAACCGCAAAGCAATGTAAAGTAGCAGAGAAGACTTAGGGGGCATGGGAAGACAGGTGTAATCACTGTAATGTAAAAATAATCCACAACACAGGTTGAATTTAGGGGGCATGGGAAGGGAGTTTTCAGAAGACTTGTCTACAGCGAGCAAGCAGAGGATTTGTCTATTCCTTGTTTGTAAGTAGAAAGCAGAAAATGTGTTGACAGCTGGCAGCAGTGGAGTGTGAAGTGTGAAGGGGAACGACAAAGAGGGTTGTCGAAAAACAGAGGTAAGTGAAACTGAGGGAAAGGGAGGAAAGAGGTTTTAGAACAGAGGTGTGTTCTAAAGCAGGACAAGGGGAAAGGTTGTCAAGCCACCGCAGTACGAAATCCTTCTGGCGTGGAAAGACCGTGAAGGGAGAGGGGAGAGAGGAATGGCTTTCCAGAACAGGTGGGTACGTGCAGGAAGCAGAGAGTTTCTTTGCCGAGAGCTTGTCAACAGTTTTAAAGGAGAGAAAATGATATGCCATCAGAAGTTGAAAACTTGATGAGAGGTCGGAGTGGAGAGATTCCTCTGGCTAATGATAACTGTGAAGAATGTCAGATGCGGCATTGCCTGCTTTGCTGCAGAGGAGGAATCTTCTATGATGAACAAGAAAATGCCAAGGAAGGACTTATCCCATCGACAGGTGACAGGTGGACGGAGCGAGAAACAAGTTGACGAGTGGAAATCAGGAATGTAGTAATGGTGGAGAAGGATAGAGGGCTTTGCTGTTGAAGATGTGGACTAGCGGGGGAAAACGAACGTTTATGTCTGCGGAGGAAGCAGATGACATGGAAGTCAGTGCTGCAATGGGTGGAAGGTGAGAGACATCGTCTGCACTTTTTGAATGGGCTAGGTAGAGAGGGAACGAATGGTGTTTTGGGGTTAAATGTTGTTTTTTTGGAGGAGTTTTCAAGTTTCCCATTTTCTCTTTTGTAATTTGCCCCACAGAGGAGGACGTTTTTAAGTGCAAATTTGCAGTTGGCAGTTTTTTCAGTGCAAGTTTGCAGTCCTCTTTTCTGCTCTTTATTATGAATTTAAGATTTCATTCGAAGTTGGAGAGATGCGAGGTGTGGTGACATGAAAACGATTTTGCTGAGGTTGACATATGTAATGGAAAGAATATGGACTATGTACCTCCCTCCCTCCCTCCCTCCCTCACACTGCCGAGTAGTTGTGTATTTTTGTAGCCGGGAGTTGTGTAGGTGTACTGGTCAGTCGGCGATTCATGTTTTGAATACTGGAGGAATGTTCCTTCAATTTTTTGCAGTTTTGGATAATTTGGTTATTACCTTGGGGAAGAGGGGTTCTTTTGAGAGAGGGAGGTGAGCAATTTTGGATGCGAGGGACTGCCATAGTTTTTCTGTTCTCCAAATCTCCAGTGTTTCTATTTTTCGGCATCCAAGTTCCAAGTTAAATTCCTTCACACGTCACTGGTCATATTGAGAGTGGACCTTTTTTCGACTGTGTTGCATTTGTTTCAAATATTGCATTTTTTCTACACAAGGTTATGCATGGGCAGCTGACCCATTTTGAGCAATCATATTCCTCTTGTCACTCTTCCTGCTCAAGCGGCAATACTGAGATTGAAGTACCCACCCTCTCTGGAGGGGTTTTCGTGGGAAGGAAAGGCAGTAAAGATGTGTTCTCTCAATTTCTGTTTTGTATACTCTACTTGTCACTGTTAAGCTCACAGATGCAAAGGTCAGCGTTCCATCTGGGGGTGCTCGAGTTTGGACGTCTGACATAGGCTTTGGGGAAAGTGCATGGTTATAATCATCATCTAAAGTACTGTTGCCATTCTATTCAAAAGGCGGAGATTGTTTTTCGGAGACGTAACATTAAATTATTGGCTAACAAGTTACCATCTGCTTTATGTAAAGTTGTAAACATCCGCCTTGCCTTGCCTTGCCTTGTATTTTAGCAACACTGCACCTTCTTATCGTGGTACTGCCGGATGCACATCCGGACAACCAGGGAGTTTGGCCGGCCGGCTTCACGGCTTGCTGGCTGTCTCTTTCTGTGTCACCAATCAGCAGGTCACAGAGTGTGTGTGTGTGTGTGTGTGTGTGTGCCCGCCTGTCTGTCTTAATGTCTCTCTCTCTCTCTCTCTCTCTCTCTCTCTCTCTCTCTCTCTCTCTCTCTCTCTTGTCGTACTGTCTCTCTCTCTCTCTCTCTCTCTGAGAAGTTATAATTATTCTCAGCCTCGCACTATGTGGGAGAGCAGAGAAAGATGAAAAGGGAAACTTCTCTCTCTCTCTCTCTCTCTCTCACAGAAGGAAGGATAAAAAGGGAAACTTCCTTCTCTACCCTGCTAGAAGTTGGAAATACCCGCTATGACCAGTTGCACCAATTTTGCAGTTCTAACCGGAAAATGTCAGGTGGAAATATTTTGCTAGCCCGCAATCTAGGTGCACCGAGCTTGGTACTGCAAAATTGCGGTTACAATTGACTACCCAGACGCACAGATTTAAGGATATACCCGCATCAAATTACGGGCATACCCTGAACGGGGGTTCGGTCAAATTGGTAACCTACTAGCTGATGGCTGGCCAAATTGTTCAGATAACCTACTCCTGGATGGCTGCAATTACGGTCATATACCCAGCAGCCGTCGGGACACAACAGTCCACTTCCATCCAATGCCCCGCATTGGGTGCGGGAACACCAACAATTCTGCCAACCCACTTCCTGGAAATGAGTCCCCTATTGGGCGTCGGAACACCCACCACACCATTCTGCACACCCAGTTTCTGGGCATGAGCATAATGTCGTGATGTTGAATTGAGGGCCTGTGGGACTGGGTATGCCCGCCCTTTTAACAGGGAATAAGTGGGTACTATGCACAGCTGAATGGTTTGTGGGTATGGATGCAAATTTGAGGTGCACATCTTTTAGTGGGTTACCAGAGTTACCTGGTCTGAACCACCTGGCCAGGGGCCGGGGCAAAATGTGCCTGCCCGGGGGGGGAGCGGCTTGTGGGGGAGAGGGTAATCGGGCAATTCTGCTTTCAAGTTACCTCACAAAAGGCTGTTTACAGGGTATAAGCAGGTTTTTTTTTTG